TAGATGACCGATAAAAGTTGTTAACAGAGAATGATTTTTTATTTTTTTTTTTTTTTTCCCCCCTGAATGACAGCTAGAAGCGTGGAAAGCAAAGCGGTGTTTGTGTCCTCCTGCCCATCCTTACTTGGGAAATAGACTTCATGGATCAGCTGGCTAGGGCATAATGCATGCTGTCAGACGGACCAGTTAGAGACTAAATCCTGCTTTGATGCAAGCATAAATAGGGTGCAAACTTGTGAAAGTCAATGCATTTACACCAAGAGTACTTTCAAAGTGATTGAAGTCATGATTATTAGCAGATTTCTTTGGAAGCTTTTTGTGTCTAATCCCATTGTGCTTAATGCTGCGGACTGGAAGCGCCTTGTCTCGATCCCGGTGGGCTTTGAGTAGGGATCAGAACGATGGGTGCTTTGCTCAGCAGAGGAGTTGGCCCCGTTGGCTGGGCACTGAGCTGTGTCCCGTTCCGCGGGAGCGGAGGATCGAGCGTGCAGCCACGACCCCGCAGCAGGTGTGCAGGGCAGAGAGCGAACGGCCCGGGCGCTGTGCTTACCCTGCTTTTTACCTGAAGGGCTGTTGCCCTGGGAAAACTATTTTTCTAGAAGCTTCTTTTGACTATTATGTTTCAACTACCTGTAAGTGTTTAAAAATGCTAACAAGGCTGTTAATTTTGATTTGCAGTTTTGATTTGCCTTGTCTTTGAAAAACGCGGACTGTAAAGCTGCTTAGAGTGACATGCAAGATGAATACCGGCCTCGCCAGAGGTGGAAAAGACAGAGACTGACTCTGTCCCTTGTGTCTGGCTGGACACGTGTGATACCTGTAACTCACTGGAAATGTGTAAGATTTCAGGGAATGAAGAGAACAGATCTTCTCTAAGATCCACGGGTGCTCCATGTGTCCTTACTGTGCACTTAAAATTGGGTCGGGACTGCGGTGGAGGCAGACCTGCCCGCCTGCCTTCTGCCGCCCTCCTGCACCGCTCCGTCAGCAGCTGTCGGGGTGGCACAGGGGGGACGCTTCTGCGGTACCTGAAGGGGCACCGTGCCCCACGTGGTCCCCTCACCTGTCACGTTTCTGTTGCAGTTCCCGAGGCAAGGCTTACAACAGACACAGCAGCAACAACAGACAGCGGCGCTGGTCCGGCAGCTCCAGAAGCAGCTCTCTAGTAAGTGTGCGTGCGCGCAGGTGTACATAAATCCATCTGTACACTTGGATGTGGAGTTCTCTTTCTGGAGACGTTCTGGCTATTTAAATGCTGCCATAGCTGCCTGTAAGTAATTTACCTGCTGACAGCCGCTTGCCCGTCCCAGTAGTGGTGTAATACCAGAAGTCTGGTGCCAGTGCATCCCACCGGTTTCTGCTGCTCTCCGGAGGAGCCCGAGTCACCTGCAGGGCTGGGGCTGGTGGCCCAGTCACAACCTGCTGTGTAGTAGTAGTCCCACCGCAGGCAAAGTCCCCGAGGAAATCCGCACCTCTTGCGTGCGTTAGGTATCAAAGGGAATGTATTGACTGTTGTTTGCTCCCGCTGCGTGAAATACCGGTATTTTTTGGTATTTCTGCAGCGCACAGTCCTGAGGCACCAACGCTTCCCTTTGCTTTATCACCCAGGTAACCAGCCCCAAGGAGTGAACCAGTACGGGCACCCTTCGCACTTCTGAACTGGGGATGGAAGGGAGACGCAATGTTACGTTTGCACTGAAGAACAGAACATTCAAAATTCAATGCACTAGTTCTTGCTAGAAAGCAGAATTTAGTTTTCTTCACTTATTATTTCAATAGTTATTTTTTGTGCTGCAGTTGATGTGAATATGTAACAAGGTGGTTTTTTTTGGGTTTGGGGATTTTTTTTGCATTTAACTAGATTTAAATGTATGGACGTGGGCCTTTTTGAAGAATGTTATTGCAGATTTTATGAATTTGGTGCTTTTTAGGTCCTGTTACTTTTAAAGAGGACAAAGAATGTTGGATTTATTTATTCGTGGGAAACACTTTTTTTGGTTTTTTTATTCTTGTTTTTTGTTGGTGGGTTTTTTGGGGTTTTTTTGTGTTTTGTTTTGTTTTTTTTAAAAGAACTGCACTGGACCAAACTACTGAAAGGCACTTCCGATTTTGGCATAAAAGTTAATTTGCTCATTAAAATGTTCACCTCTTTCTTTGTTGGTAGAACAAGCATCAGTTGTGTTTATTTGACTGTAATTTTCATATGCACTTTATAAAGTTCTTTGTTTAAAGTACCAATTTTCTCTTGCTCTTATTGTGGTAAGAAGGTGCTGAAGTGGGTTTATGGCTTGTATTAGAACTTCTTAAAGTTTATATTGAAAGCCACAATGTAATGTTAATAAACCTACTAGAAGTAGCAGTGTTTCTTATTTGGTCTTTTTAATATAAAGTTCACCGGTGACCAGTTTGGAAAGGGTGCATGACATAGAAACAAGGATCGAACAGTCTGAGTGGGTTTTGCTCCACTCGCGTAGGGAAATCTCCAAGTCCTGGCAAAGCCCGACCGGCTGCCGGTCTCCGTGTGGCACTCGGTGCCTTGAGGAACAAACCTCGTACCAGTGTGCACAAAGCGAGGGTGGAGCGGCCACCCAAGTCCTTTTGGCAGCGTCAGCGCTTCTCTAGCGGACAGCTCTTTACGCTGAACTCGCCCTAAAGGAGCTATTCCCGTGAGCTCTGTCCGCTGGCAGTGCTGTGTGCTCCGTATTTCAAATTCCAGGTTTGGGTCCTGACTGCTGGGTGAGTTTCAGTGCTGTAAGGCAGTACGTATTATCAGCTGAGCGCAAAACCACAAGTAAATTATAAATCAAAATTACCACAAACAAAGCATTATTATTCAAATCTGTAGAAATTTATCATAATTTTGCTCGTATTAGAGTTGAAAAAGCAGAATAAATTTTTTACTATTTTGTGTAATTTAGGAGTTAGTCTTAATGATCGATCTTTTTTTTTTTTTTCTCAATGCATTCTTTTTAAAAGTGGAGGATGCAGGGCATTTAAAATATACACAGGAATATTTTTTCCCTGTTTTGCATTAACTTAGTTTGCCTAATTTACCACATAAAGAGTTTATAGAAGGTATCACGGTCAGGTGTTCTGTGGGGAGGGGGGAAGACTGCAGTGGGCAAGCTTCAGAGGACTTGGGGGGCAGCACAGCCAGCTAATGCGGTAACACTCACTACAGAGTGGGACTCTGTAGAAAAGTAGATTTTGATTGGCTTTTACAATAGTCAGGTAAGTCTTACTCATGTAAAAATTATTTCTGTTCAGGTTTTTAAGGAGATTTGCTGTTCTTTGTAGTAGCTAAAGCTTTTACAGATATTAACCAGTGAGGTTCATGTAGTAGCCACAAAATGGTTGGATTACTCCATCGACACTGTGGAAGGAGGGAACAAGCACCCAGCAAACTGTACGTGGGTGATGTCAGGAAACGACCAAACCAGCACAAAAGCAATCCAAGGTGAGGTTATAGTCTTCAATAAAAAAAATTTAGAGTTCCTCAGGTTGATTGTGAGGTGGTTAAATGAAGTAGAATCTGCATTTAGCTCTTGGCACTTGAATACTTTCTCACTGATGAGCGTCTTGTGTGCTCATCAGCTGCTGCCGAGAGGTCTTACTGCGGGCGGTTGGGGTGCTGCTGCCACGGTCACACCGAGGAGTTTCACTGCGGACCCTTCTTGTGAAAGGTTCTCACTGGCCCAAAAGAGACGTGTTACAATTCTTGGACTTTTTATTATTTAAAATGATGTAAAGAGCTGGAATTGTTCATGAGGCAGGGGATGGTTACACTGAACCCTTCATAGCTCCATCAGACTCTCTGTAATGGATGAGGAGACCACTCCCTTCCAGCAGCCCTGGCTTCAGCCCTGCCGTCTCTGTCCGCTCCAGCGGGATCAGGCAGTGCCGGGTGCCGCCAGCTGCGGGACTGGCTGGGACTGTTGGGACGGCGACGTTTCTTCCAGGAGACGCGTAGGTCCCAGATTGCAAATTTAAGGGGAAAGGCTGCATTGCGTGTATTTTGACCTCTCTGTCCTGACATTACTCTCACTCTTAGGAAGAAAATAAGAAACTCTGAGCTTTACTTACTGGCTTAATCTTTTAAAGGTTTATTTGACCAGTGCAATCCGTGATTCGTTAGCGTAAAATGTGTAGGTAACCGTTCCCTAACGCTGTGAAGGCATTTTTCCCCCATGTACAGAAGGTTGCTTCTTAAAGCTATCTACTGAATTGAGAAATGAGAATTCTAAGGTTATATGCAAATTGATGCAATTGCTTTCTAGTGAGAAATCTTTAAAAAATGCTTTTGTGGCAACAGGAAAATTATACCAAGCTAGAGTGTTTCTACATGTGGTCTGTATCCTTTTTCTAAACAGTGCTAAACAGAGTTTACTCTCTCATTTAAAAATGAGAACAAAGTTGTTCTGTGTGCATCATCCCAAAGTTCTGCAAGAAAGATTGTGTGAAACAGAGCTGCATTATTAAAAATACTTCACTACTTGTTTCACTATTGAATATTTATTTTTAAAACATACTAAATATTCAAACATATTAAGAAGGTAATTGCATCAAAATAAAATCTGCTCTTTGGTTCTCAGATTCTCTTGCTTTATGGGATCCATGCTCATGATAGTCATATGAGGTGGACAATATTAAGCTAATATGAAAAAGTCTGTCCTTTACTGAAGATCTCTAGGTAATTTTATTTGATACTCAATGTTTGCTGGCAGAGCAAAAGTGGTGTAAGTTTGTTTTAGTTTAACTGTGTTGAATCACTGAAAGAACCAATGCTAGGTAATAATGCTAGATCTAATTTCCCCCAAGTCCTTCCTCTCTTGTTTTTTTTGTTTGTTTGGTTTTTTTTAGCACGGTCATTGCAGATGGAATACTGTAAATGTAGTTAGGCACTTATGTGCCTATGGCTGCCTTTTATTACACTTATTCCAAGAATGAACGCAGTCCCGCTGTAGACTTTGTTAACAATTGTTCATGATGTATTTCTTATTTCAAATGACGTGAATGTACGTTACTGTGAAATCACTGCCAAGGTGGTTCTTTGCTGTGCACTTGTACGCACCAGAATCGGAGGGCTGGGGATCCTGGATGAGCAACGTCCCCGGAGGGTGAAGCAGTTGGCTCCCAGATGCTTGGCCTTGGTGAGCTGTAGAGAGTACTGAGTGGTCAGGTAACTCCCAGGTGATCTCTGGTTTGGGTATTCCCAGTGCGATGCAGTGGAGCTGAACTGCTGCACCAGGCATCGTGTGGATGGTCCGCGGTGGTCTATTCGTAATCCTCGGGGCGTAGGCTACGATAACGACAGGAATGGTTACAGAGGCATCTCCGGCAGTGTTGTGGGCCTTGCACACGTAGTTTCCTCCGTCGTGAACGGTGGCTTCTCGTATAACCAGAGTGCCATTTTCCAGCAGTATGTGTTTCCTGTTGATCTGCGGTCGATCCAGCACGTAGCCACCTGGCAGAGTCCACGCTGTGTTTGGTTTGGGTCTCCCATCAGACAGGCAGTGAAGCAATAACGGCTCCCCGCTAATGCCCTTCACTGGCCCCCTTGGGTGAGTGAGAATGCTGGGCTTCTGGCCGAGCTCCAAGATGATCAGCTTTTCAATATAGCCAACTTTATTCCTGGCAGCACAGCGATACTTCCCTGCTTGGTCTCTCTCGGGGTTATAGATGGTAAGGGTACCGTTGCTTCCTGTGAGAAACTGGGAAGTCTTGATGCCGCTGGAAAACCACGAGCCATTAGGCAACATCCAGCTTATGTCAGGTGGGGGGTTTCCATCCACAGAACAATTCAATGTGGTAGCTTTTCCAGGTTTCACTATTATTTTTTCATTGAATGGATTTTTAAACATGGGTCGCCGTAGCATTTCTAATACCTCCAGCTGCACCACCAACATACTCTCTCCCCCATCGTTACGTGCCACACATATAAATTCTGCTGTGTCAGAAGGCCTTAGGTTCCGAATCTCAAGTGTCCCATTTTTGTGTACGACGATCCTGCTCCCATAATATGGAGCTGTTAGGAAAATATTATCAGGCATGATCCACATAACCTGAGGGGGAGGTGTCCCTTCTGCCCTACAGTCAATTTGTTTCTTTGAATGCCTCACTGCCGTCACTTTCATGACTGTTTTGTTCACATATAAACCATTTATGATGGGTGGTTTAGCAACAACATCCAGTTTACACAATTTTGTATCATCCCCTCCAGGATTACGAGCAACACACATGTACTGCCCAGCATCCAACAGTTTGACTTGACTGACTGATAGGGAACCATTGGCGTGCAGGAGGTGTCTCTCTGTTGATGAGGAGATCATGTCACTGGAAGGTAGCAACCAGAATATTTTTGGCTTGGGTTCTCCAACAGCTTCACAGTCCAGTAATGCCGTATCTCCAGCTTTCACTTTAATGTATGTCTTGTAATTGTGCTTTATCTGAGGAGCTGCCATGATGACCGTGATGCGTATCTTCATTTCATCTCTTCCCAGGGTGTTCTGAGCGTAGCAGGTATAATCTCCTCCTTCTGTTACTCCAACTTTGTTCAGATAAAGAGTTCCATTGTCAAAGAGGATGTATCTGCGAGACCTACGTCCACTGTCATCTGCCAGCATCGCGTTATTGATCACCGTCCCATCTGGCAAACTCCAGGATATTTCTGGTGCAGGTGACCCAGAGGCCTTGCAGTCCACTCTGAAATCTTTTCCGTAGGGCACTAGTTTCTTGAAATACTGTTTCTGGTCAATCTTGGCCGGTTTCATTGTGACGCTGACTTTCATCAGTATCAGATCATCTCCAATTTTGTTTCTTGCGACACACAAATAGTCACCTGCATCCTTTTCAGTAACTGCCTCGATAACCAAGGAGCCATTGGGGTAGACATGGATTCGACTTCCCATTCTGTTGTGGGGGGAGAAAGAGGAAAAGAATTATAGAACAAAATGCTGGAGGTGAATACTGAGCACTGAAAGCGACTGACAGTATTAACAGCACGGTACAATACAGAAGTTCTCTCCAAAGGCACTGTGTCCTCATCACCCGCCTACCCAGTGGCTTACAACCTGGTGTAGTTGCTGCTTTTGTTGTTACATGGACGTGCACATGCTTACCGACGACATAAGTGCTCAAAGCTGCTCGACGCCGCCTCTGCCTTGCTGAAAACTGCTCTGTGAACAAATGAGCCTGTTGAACCTTATGTCCCTCATCCTGCCAGCCTCTGCTCCTCTCCCTCGTCCTGCTCCCTGCAGACCACCCGCCACACTTGCCCCCAGCCAGGGGCAAATGGCCGTGCTGCTGCGTGCCGTCCAGAACGACACTTGGCACCAAGGGGTTGCTCTCCGGCTGCCTGCCCTGCAGTGGGGCACGGACCTGGATCTCCCTCCTCAGCCCAGCTGCAAGTTCTCATGAACCGGCCAGGAACACCCTGGTCTGGGGCTGTCTCTCCCAAAACGAAGGTGAGGTGTTACCGGGGGAGGGGGACTGGGGGGGAGACCCTCAAAGGTAGACTTGGCAGAGACTACAGAAGCCTCTTTCTCCTGAGTCCTACTTTGCAAATCTCTTATAAATAACTTTTCCTCTTATAAAATGACAAAATCCAGTCAACGCATGATTAACATCTGTTTCCTTCATTCAAATATGACTTGTAACCATTTTGGTAAGACCTTGTGACAGTCGATGTGATCTGTTGTTAGAAGTATAACAACAAACCATCATCACAGATGTTTCACCACTGTTAAACACTGAAAAGTGAATTTAGTTCACCATGTATTGTTTCAGTGATTTAACAGTCTCCTATATCAGCACCAGAGAAGACAGCATTTGATGTTTCAAAGACATGGGGAAAAAAAAAGACACTTACCTGTGCCACTGGTCAACAACTGCCTTGGAGGGTAACCTCCAGATGATCCTGGGCTTTGGCTCCCCAGTCGCTGTGCAGTTCAGAAGCAATTTATCCCCAAAATTCAACCGAGTCATTTCTTGAGAGGCAGTAGCTATTTTTGGAAGCGTATCTCTGCGTTCCACCACAAGGCTCACCACCCTCCTTTCCGAGCCAGTCGAGCTTGTGGCTATGCACTCGTAATTCCCGCTGTCAGAAGGAGCGATATTGCCGAGGTGCAGGGTACCGTTGGAGAACAGGAACAGCTTTGCGTTTACCAACTGCAGAGGTTTCACCACTGTGCCATCAAACAGAACCCAGTGGACAGTGGGCTGAGGATTCCCTTTCACGGTGCAAGGGAGTTTCAGATTCTCCCCCATCAGCCCTTCAACACGTTGTCTCTTCTCCTCCAGAATAGCGGGAGGTGCCGCAATGACCTGCAGTTTTACAGCCAGCGTGTCCGTGCCCGCTGGGTTTTTAGCCACGCATGTGTAGAGGCCCCTGTCGTAAACAGTGACTTCCCTGATAAATAAAGTGCCGTCTGGTTCCACGTGAACGTTGTTATTTCCTGCGGAAGCGTCAGAGACGTGAGTTTTATTTGCTAGAACCCACGAGAGGGTGGGAGGAGGCCTGCCCTCAGCTCTGCACTTCACTGCCACGGGCTTTCCGGAGTGAGCGGTGAGGAGCTGCAACCTGCTGCCGGTGATGCGGGGCGGGTAGGCCACCACCGACAAGGTGGCCAGGAGCCGTGGCGCGCCATGTGTGTTGGCCGCGGTGCACAGGTACTGCCCGCGGTCCTCCAGGCCTGCCCGGGTGATGGAGAGCGTGCCATTGGCAAACACCGTCCATCTGCCGTCACCTCGGCTTTCTAGAGCATCAGTCCCTACGGAAGCAAGGGGACAAGAGCGCGGCACATCAGAATCTCTCTCTCCTGTTTCTTTTTACTCAGCCCCTGAAAACGCTTTCCCTATCCTGGTCTACTTTGCCCAAATAACCAAGATAATGGTGATAAGAAAGAGAGAAATAATTGTATTTTGCATATACAGTGACAAAGCTTTAAAGTAAAAACAAGACTTAGCCCTCAGTAGAGACAAAGTTTGGGTAAGCAGATGGGGCTTTGCATATCCAAAAATACTCTGGCATAGTTGTGACTGGGCTCTGCAGATTCAAAAATATTTTTGGCATAGCTTTAACTTGATTTGATGGTTTGTTACCGCAGACAGATTTTTCTTCTGGCTTGTCTCACTGTTCTGAAATAGCAGGTAACATACAATAAATATTGAAATCTTCTCACAATAAACATAGAATTCTAATTAAATATAGATTATATACCTCTTTTTTTATTTCCCTTAAGAACTGTTTCATAATTAGTAGTAAGATGCTCCAGCAATGTGCTGGGATATCTTTCTTTCCCACTGTTTCCAAATTCATCTTTTCACTGATACTTCACGGCACTCTTAAAAGAAGCAATACTTGAGCGTGGCACACAAAACATGTGCCACATTACAAGACTATAACGGAAGGTAAACTCGAGAGAGGCTTACCAAGCCCACCTGATGATACCTTGGTCCAGTGTATTGTTGGGTGGGGGTTACCAGTAGCTTCGCAAGGAATAAAGGCATCTGAGTTAGCTAGCACAGTAAAAGCAGCTAATTTTCCTCCAATTATTCTGGGCTTTGTAAAATGATTTCTACTTAAAGAGTCCAAGGCTATAGGATTGGCGGTGGTAGTTTCTTGATCTTGCCTCTTTCCAGACCAGCCATCCTTGGCCCTCCCGCCCCGAGATGTGGACAGAGTCACCATCTGCGACGCCCTCGGCACGGCCCACGTGCGGACAGTTAACGTGTTGCCCCTCTCTACGACTTTCGCAGAGGGCCTCTGCCAGGACTCGCTTTCCCCCGACAGAGGCGAGGTGGTTCTCGCAGCAGGTGTGGGTGGCGCGGCCGCTGCTAGGGCCGGCGGTGGGGTGGGTTGCCGAGCGCTGGGAGGAGTGATGGCTGCAGCAGGAGCTCTGGTACTTGACTCGGATCTCGCTGGGAATGTGGGACGCGTTACACGGTTTCCTTGGATGACTCTCTCTTTCGCTTTCAGCCATGATTTTTCACCTGCCGTTGCGGTGGCTTTGATTTGCTGAGCAGGGTCTGAGCCAGATGCACAGATCGTGGCAGAGCGTGCGCTTGCGGTGCTGACAGGTCCTGGAAGCGGTGGGGTGGCTGGGATGAGTTTGGCGGGGCTCTGACCGTCGGGTGGTAACACGGCCGACGGGGCGTCCTGCCGAGTGACAGGGGTCACCGAAGTCTGCGTGGCTGCCCTAGCCACATGCCACGGCCCCTCTGGGGTGTTAAGCATCCAGGGTGCTGGCACTTCTGTCACTGAGGCTGCACTTGCGCTCTCGGAGAGGGGGTTTGCGGGCGTAAGACTTGTAGGCACAGTTAATGACGTGACTGTTGTCGCGGCAGGCGCGGCTGTGTTCGCAGAGGGAATCGCTGCAGTGCTGTTGGCTGCCGTCACGCTTTGTGAGGGAGATGTTTTAGGGGGCCTCTTCCTCCTCTGGCCTCTCTTTCTTCCCACTCTGAATGTTTTACTTTTGGTGACTTTGGTGTCAGTTTGAGGAGTAATAATAGGTGTAACTGTTGGCTTTAAACTTGTTACATCCATTTCTTTGGTTGCATTAGTTGCAAGAGGAGAGTCAGAACGTGGTTTTGCAGTGGGACGATGTTCTTCTGACTCACCGTTGCCATAACGAGCGGGTTTGTTTAAAGACAAGAAACCACTGCTGTGATTCCCACCTGTAGAAATAGGCGTAAAGTGCAAAGGAGACATTGTGGGCATAGCTAACGCTACTGTAGTTTCAGGAAGCATGGTCGATACCTCTGTTGATGGAAACATATCTAGTTGTTGTTTTGGCAGTTTCTTCAGAACCTCTTTTTGTGCACCATTTCCAAAGAGATGTTCCCAAGTAATTTTTCCTCTTTGGGAATTTTTTGGTGAGGTTCTAGGCTTAATGCTGGGTGAGACTGATTCAAGGGTAGAAGATATCTTAGTGCGTATGGTATGTGTAATTTCTGTAGCAATATGAGCTCTGTGGATTGCTGTTGTCGGTAGTCTGATGCTAAAAGGTTGGAATCTATCAGTATTTGTCTGAAATGGAGCACTGCTCTCTAATTTCCATTGAGGAGTATCTTGGGTGCCCTCTGTAATGAAAGGCATGACTGTCGTAGTAGCCTTTTGCCTAGCACTAGGTTCATTTTCCTCTTCCCTGAAGAATGCTGTGTTTTGATGAGTACCCGCTGGGTGCTCCAATGGCATATTCATGGTAGAGCTGGAGGACAGAGGTGTCTCTGGGCTAAACGGGTTGATGGAGCTGCTTAAATTATTTAAGGTTGGTAAATTTGATACATATTTCATATTCAGCTGAACGTCTGCAGCCACAGCTGTACTTCCTCTGATGGACCCTGGCCTCCCAAAATTGTATCTGTGCTCTTTCATACTTGGAATGCGTCCTGGTCTGACAATTTGTCTCCTACCAGAAATTTTCCTTCGTCTTCCATATTGCTGCTGGGCCTGGGGTGTATGAGTTGTAACATCCTGAATAATCTGAATTTGCTGATGAGTAATGATAGTTGAGGCCAATGGTGGATTTGGAGTTACTCGTTTCTGAGTACGATGAAAATAACTGTGACCCAATTCAGGGCTTGGTTCACTGACTGTCACTACAGATAGCTGGTGATCTGTTTTGGTGGAAAGCTCATCAATAGACTCAGTAAAATCATATAGCTTGTCCAGTTTGTTTTGGGAAGTTACAGATTTGCTGGTGTCTGTAACAGCTGTCATGGGTGTTGTAGATACAGATTTTAAATGCTGGTTATTACTTCCCCCAGAATATACCAACCTTTGGCCAGCAGGGAAGAGTGTAAATGCTCTACTTGATACAGTTGATTGTTTTATACCATTTGCTGATATTTGACTTAAATCAGATCTTTCCCATGAGTTTGTAACTGTAGGTTTTAGATACGTTTGTGGCCTTCTGCTGTCAGATGACACAGACTGTGAAAAAGGAGAGGGTAGGGGAGTTACTGCCTCTGCAACCAGGAGAGAGGTTTTCCTAGCAGGAGTGTTACTCGTAGTCATCTCAGGCCCTGCAGTTATTACGCTTTCCATTGCTCTCCACCGAGTAGATACAGTGGCTGTCTCTGTAACTGGTATCATGAATTCTTCTTCTGGAGACACAAGATCACCAGACGTTTCCTCCTCATCCCCAGGTACTTCTGAGAACTTATGGACTTGAATAGGTGGTTTCGTTGCAACTTCTCCTCGTTTTCCTATCAATGTCGAGTTCCTCTTTGTTTTTTCCAAAAAGGCTGCCCACCGCTGTGGATCGACTCGCCTGGCTGAGGAAACAAACTGTCTTCTGTGTCCTCTAAACCGCCTGCTTATTTTGTCCCTGTAGTGCCTGTAAGTCATCTTCCCGTAGTTGTTCCTTTTATGTGCACTCTGTGCGACCCGATTTCTGAATGCTGAGGCAGCAGATTCCTGATTAGCTGTCAAGGTAGCCAGAGTAGCTAAAGGATGTTTCTTTGCTGTAGCAGAGGCCAGCATTGCGTTGCCAGAGCCATCACCCTCTTCCCATTCTCCCACAGCTACATGCTTTTTCTTTAGAGTGGTTTCGTCCTTTCTAACTAGCACTTGGAAAACCAAAAGATCAACACCATACTGGTTGGCTGCGACACATCTAAAGTAGCCACCGTCTCGCTCTGTTACCCCTTGTATTCTCAAGGTACCATTGTCAAAAATATGTTTGTTTCTTACAGAATGATGAAGAATCGCATGCTCAGGTAGCACCCAACTAATGGTAGCATCTGGAACAGCAGTGGACGTACAGGGAAGATAGAGTGTGGCGCCAACAAATGTAGAAAGTTGGGCTCCATTTACACTGTTGTGTTCCACATATGGATCGACCACAGTAACTCTAAATGTGAGAGTATCTGCATCGTTGTCATTTGTGCCAATGCAGTGATAAAGCCCGGAGTCAAAAGTATCAGCTGTCCGTAACGTGAATGTCCCAGTTTTAACTACTATGATTCTTCCATCCTCACTGACATAAGGAGCTCTAACTTTGCTCCCATCAGCCAATATCCACGCTATTGCAGGAGCTGGTTCTCCAATTGCTTGGCACTCTAGTTCTACTGTCCCCCCGACTAAAACAGTGTGCTCTGTTTGTGTTTTGTTGTCCCTCGAGATGATGGTCCAGTTATTTCTCGCCTGTTTTTTGTCAGCACTGGGCAAAATAATCCGAGCATCCGTAAAGTACTGGATGTGCAATGTGTCAAGTGTGGTTGCTGTCCTATCTAGCTGTAATGCCACTTTGCTTTGCATTAACCAAGATGGTTCAGCTCTCAGTTCAGTCTCTATATTGGTAAAAAGTTCGTCTTTTTCGGAGTAGATTTGTTTATATTTGTAACTAATAAAAGGCATGTTAGTTGCTAGGACGTTCCTTTCCAGTTTTAAGGGAGAATTACTGTACAGTGCCAGTATGCTCCACAGCTGCTGAATGTGTTCATAATCAATGCCACACACAAGAAATGCTGAGAATGATGTTTTGAGTACTGTATGGTTGCCATCTTTGTCAAACGAGATGGGAGACATTTCTTTAGGTTTGTGGACGTTGCAAACCAAGTTACCGCGACTTCCTGCTCGGTCAGTCATGTTCAAAACCATGGATCCTATAGGAGCAACGAAGTCCTTGGGAGATACGGAACTGAAATCCCCATCATCTGGCACTGTGAGGTTTTTAAATTTCAGGGAGTCATGTATAGCTGGCTTAGTGCAGGTTAAAGATGCAGAAGGAATATCCACTAAGCTTCTCCCTTTCTGATTTTTGGGACTAGCACAAGCTGGGCATTGCTGAGCACCGGAACTTCTGTCTTTTTTGCACTTTATAACATCTGAAAGGAAGCAAAATGCAAGCTTTTGTGATACAAATTTTAGTATTAACAAAGACAAATAGCTACCAGCAAGTTGTTCTCTTGAATAAAATATTAACAAAGTTTATCTTAAAGTAACCTATGAAAACCTAAAGTAAGCTAAGAAAACCCATGAATTTTCTCTGATGAAACCGCTTGAGGACTGTTGCTGTTGCAGCTCAGTATGGCTCCCTTCTGTCCCAGCGGTTTGACACCGCTCAAGGAGGGCTCTGCTGTGGGACGTGGCCACAGCTCTGCTCCGAAAGACACAGGCACTGGCAGTTTGGGGGTACCTCTACACTATCGTGTGCAACCTCTGCTTAGGGCAGCAACAGAGAAAGTCCTTGAGTCCCGTTCCTTATTCTTTTTCAGAGAATCGAGTACAACGTGGCCTTCACTTTTGCCAGTTACATAAAAACTAGCTTCCTTATTCCCTGTGGATTCTCCTGGTGCACAGAAGCTTTGGAGCGGCCAAGGAAAATGCTCCACTAAGGAAAGCTGCACTTGGGAATGGGTTAAGACCACTAGGTTGATTTAATCTGGGAAACGGAATGGTATTAATCTGTTTATCCTGATTACATGCACCTACAAAAATCCTGTCTTCCAGTCTTTTCTGGGAAAATAAATACATAAATAAAGGACAATTACCTTTATCGGAAGGAAAAAGATGGCGTTACACGATTAAAAAGCCTAAACAAAGCCTTCAGCTCACCTGGTCTCTCTTTTGCCCATTCTGCAAACCACTGGAGATTGCAATCACAGGACCATGAGTTTCCATGAAGGTAAATGCTCTCTAGCTCAGCCATGTAGGAAAACATTTCTCGTGGGAGTGAAGTCAACATGTTGTCAGACAAATATATGTGCTTCATGAAGGATATTTTAAATATTTGGCTATAGCGCAAGGTGACAAAAGTATCTGAATGAAGCTGCTTAAGTAAATTTCCTTCCAGGTGGACCAACCTCAGTGATGTGAGTCCGTAGAAAACATTGGGATTTACAAATTCAATTTTATTGTGGTCCATATGCAAGCGTACCAAGTTCTTTAGACCACTAAAAACATCCTGCATACTCTGACCTTGTTATAACTCATTTTTAAGACCTGTTGATGAAAAAGTAACAAATGTATGATATTAACCCATGTTATATTGTTAAAAGACTCCTAACAAATTTTGATAGATGGTTACTCTGTGAAGTGAAAGTACTTCACTGGACTAGTAATGCGAGTGATTGGAAAAAACGTAGTAGGAGGAATTGTTTTTAAATGCAATGTTAGTTGCAGGACTAGAAGGACGCTTTCTTGTTCCAACCGTCCATCAGGGTGATGCTTCTGCAGTCACATCTACAAAACGCAGCGATTAGAAAATAAAATAAAGCAATGCTTATTTCTCATTCAAAGAATCCCAGTTAAACCACACTTATGAAAAGGGTAAGCAGAATTTTACCATAAACTGTGGTAGTGATTTTTGTCCCAGCCGGTGTTATGACTGTAAAAATGCATGCAGCATTCTGTTTTGTTTGATGTTTGACCAACAGAAGGGCTAACTGTGTTTGCGGTTTCAAGACTTGTGCCAGGTGAGATGTGTACTTGCCAAACCTCAACTCTCAGGTGCCATTTTGTTGCTGACAGGTTAAAAGTCAAATCCGTAACTATGAGATGAACAAATCTGGCATATTGCTGAAGTACTAAATACGGTACCCAAACCAGCCTTTCTGTTGTTACTTCTTGTAGTAGAATTACGCTGTTACAGTCACAAATTCTGTATTTTCAAAATTAATGAGGAAAAAAGTACAAAATCACAATAACATGCAAGTTTATCTTAGTTGCCAAATATGATTCCATTAAAACTATCTATAATTGTGTTGCCATCTTTCTTGTTGATAAGGAAGGAAAAGCTTACAGGACTCCGTAACGCTGATTTTATTAAGTCAGTTGCGAGGAGTTAACAAGCAAGCTTTCAGGCACAGAAGTACCCTTTAGGAGGGTTAATGAAACCTGAAGATCTGTATGCTCCAAAGCTTGTCCGGTTTCTGCCTCTCCCTCCCACCCCTGCCCCCTAGCCCTCTAAACCCGGCAACTGAGCCAATGCCCTGTTCTCGGTCTGAACAGTTCAGGTCTCTCATGTCCCTAGTTCATCCTAGCTACAATAGTATTACTTCTCTAAAGCGGTTAATAGCAGCTGTAGGTGGAAATTTAACTGGAGAATAAGTGTTACCTGTACATCGAATTAGTTGGGAATGGTTGTTCCTAAATAATCCTGTAAGTACTTCTTTATAGATGAGTATCTACACGGCACAGTGAGATACCGAGATAGCTCCAGAATCCCTGTCTGACACCGTGCACTTACTAATTTTTACAATAGATGTAAATACAGGTAATGTTTTATAAACAGGTAATATTTCAGTTAAAGAACAAAACAGGCATCAAACACTACATTTTAAAAGTCTACAAATATATATTAAATTATAAAACCAAAGAACAGTAGGTTTATTTAAAGCATTAAAATGTTTCTACGTAATATGTTCAGTTTCTGTTCAGTAGGAGCCTTTTTCTAATGAAGGAGAGAAAGGGACAGGACTATACTGTAGTGAAGGGAAAGGGAAATCAAAACAATCTTCAAAAACATATAAAAATTGACTAACAAATTAACTAAAGACAAGTTTCCTACCACAGATGCAGTGCTTGGAGCTCTGCAATCTCTCTCTCCTGTGTGACAGAGAGTTTCAACTGCAGTTGCCCATTAAGGTGTTGCTCACAGATATCTACCAATATGTTCATCACGCTCTTTAAACTGTACCTGAATGCCCACCCGGGAAGGAAAGACATTTCCCATTAGGATACTGGATCTTGAAGGCCCTCGTCTTTCACATGGATACAATAAGAAACGGGAAACCAAAATGCTACAGACCACTCATCTGCTTCCATTTATCAGTATTACTGCACATTGTTTAAAAGTCATAACAAAAATTAAGATTAGGTCATCTCCTAATTAAGATTAGGTAATTTAGTTCTTACCTGTAATGAATATAAATCACTGAACACCTTATCAGGGATTGTATTTATCTCATTGCTGTGCAGCATCAGTAACTCCAGTTTCTCCAGGCCAGAAAAATCTGTTTCCGTCAGTTTAAGCAAGCTGTTGTAACTGTAACAAACATTTCATCCCAGACCTGGGTTTAGTCAGACAGCTAAACTTCACAAGTTTTAAAACAAACAAACAAAACCAAAGCAAAAGAGCAACTCTTCGGAAATGCATAAAGGTAGTTAGCACTTCTGGGTGCTAAGATGAAATTCTATCTCATTCCTTCGTGCTAGCACAGAATTTGCTCACTTTTCCAGGGCAGCTTTCTGAAGACCGTATTCCCAGCGGACAGGGAAAAGAACTGCAAAAATGTGCAGAGAAGAATGTCAGGTTTGGGCTTCGATGTAGAAGAGCAAGGAGCCCCTGTAATGGTAGAGGTTGGTGATACGTTGATGCCTCTGTCCATCGGGGGCTTTCCCAACACCGCAGTATCACAGAGAGGTCCGTGAACAACAGCGAGCCTCCTCTGCTGCCCACCGAGACCTAGGCAAAACCAAGGGTACTGGGGTGTCACCTTTCTCCTGGGACCCCAATGACAACGGCTCTGCCTAGGCTGAGGTGCAGGGGGGCTCTGCAGTGTCTTGCAGTCCCTGCCTTGTCCTTGGCCGGACCATGCTGTCTGCCCTTTTCAGTTGTACATCTTGAGTTTTATTTCCACTCCGCGGGTGTTCAGTGGTGCACACCACTTGCTAATGCAGAGGTAGCCTCAGCCTCCCCTGAGTTCCACAGGCGTACATACAGTACGGATAGCCTAGGCTGGATTTCAACAGGGAACCAAAAAGAAACAGTGAGCCCTGTAAGTGAGAGCTGCACTACTACAGGAGGGTTGACCATCGGTCGTACCCAAGTCTAGCCAGCGTGAATACTGACAGCGATGCTACACTAGCCCAGCATTAGTAGGTGGTGTGTAAGCCTCGCAAATGCTGAGTACCCACTCTGCAATGCCTTTGACTTTGTGACGACTATCACACTTGCATGACCTGAATAACTAACGCAGGGACTCTTCTCATGCTGCAGTCACACCTCCTGTGCCCCATGGTGAGAAGTAAGTTGGATTAATTCCCCAGTCAGACACACGGCCTTTCCATAGTAGTAATGAATGCATTTTAAACATGTCCCACACCTCAAGTAACCCACAGTCCTCGGAAAGCACTGGTTCTTAATTGTTAAGACTTCATATACAGCACTTCTGGACAACACTGACAAAATCAATGGAAGGAGAGGGCAGACAGGAGTCAGGAGCTGGGACCTGGATACGTTGCCTGGCAGCAGAAGGCAGATGAGGGGGAAGAATTCAATGAAAACTTCCTTTTATATTTTCTGCATAGACACATAGACGATTCAAAGGCTATGGGTATCAAAAGTCATACAAGGATCAGGCAAATATCGCTGATTGGTCTTGTCATTTGACTGTATGACAGAGGACCCTTGCTGGAAACTGCATTAATGGGCCAGCCAAGCCTCGGTATAATCTACTCCCTGTTCCTTTTAACCACGTACAGACCAGAAACATTTTGAGGGTGAAATATTCAGACAAGTGTTATTTCCCATAAACTCGATAGATAAAAGCATAGATACTAGCACTGTGCGACATTCTAAAGTCACAGCAAAATCTCTGAAGATCTTAACACGTGTACTAATTTTCCAGCCCACTGTCTGAGCTCTGAACTATCTTTTCGCAGAAAGAATTCTCTCTATTTCAGACTCCTTCTGAGTTCCACGTTACAGATGCAAAATGGTCAGGTAATATGAAAGAATTCATTTAAGGTCAGAACTTTTTGAAGTCTTACATGCCCTGTGATACATCCCCAAAATTTCCACTTAGTGTTGGTGGCTTTGCCAGCTGTGATTGCAGCCACTTCTGAGTACTGCAGGATGTTAAGCTCTTAAGATTTATTTATTGTTTTTTTTAACTTTTAGCCCTAAAATCTGGAAACTCTTAATTATTGTTTTGCAAAGTGTTGAAAGGTAACTGGTCAGAATACTTAAAATCTTGATGTTAAACATACCCCAGATTGACGCGCTCCACGTTTGGCGGGATGTGCGGTGGGACGGCTGTGAAGTACCGGAACGTGCAATGCACCTCGGTTGGGACGTAGCAGGCGCAGAGCCTGGGACAGGCGGTGGTGCCGGGGAGGGCGGCCAGGCAGACAGCGAGGAGGGTCCCCAGCCACCCCGGGCTGCCCCGGCCTACGGCTTTCATCCTGCGGGAAAGTGCTACGCTCCCATCCTTCACAGCAAGAGAGAACAGCCGGATTCCTACAAGGAAAACAAAACACACGAGCATTTGCAGTGATATCCGTGGTGAGTTGCTCGGTTTTAAGCTACAAGCACAAGAAGAACTTTTTAACTTGAAAGCAAGCCCAACCCACAGAGCAGAACCAAAACTCTTGGTTTCCCCCTCAGTCCTTCAGATCTGTGTAACGATCTGACTTTTTTGTCATTTTAAAGAGCGAGCCTCA